TGACCTTCCCACTACCCTTTTCCAGAACAAGTCCAAGTCGCTCTACTTCGGTACATGCAAGGTAATTGTGGGTAACACCAGTATCCACCATAGCTTGGATAGGCTTTCCGTTGATCTTCACATCAATGTACATTAAGCCTTTGGCCCTACAAATTTGAGCATTCGCTTCTTCCATCCTTGCCTCTTTCAAGGGGACATCATCCTTTTCAGCAACCCGATGCGACAGTGTGTTGCATCGATATGAGAATGCCCCAACTACGTCTCTATCCTCTTTGGAATCGGCCTCACCATGACAACTAGCCTGTGGGGCCCCTTGCTTTGAACTTGACCCGCCACTTACTAGCTGACAATATACATTCACCATCCGTTTCTGAGAACACTCTGACATCTAATGAGGTCCTTCGCATAAAAAGCACATCAATTTGGGAGTGGCATTAGTTCGGCCCTTCGTTATGTTTCTTTGTTCCAGTTGTTACTGTTGTTGCCGTTATAATTTCCTTGACGACTATTATGATAATTTCCCTGAAAGACACGGGTGCTTTGATAGGCTCCTCCCTTATTCTGAGAGTAACACTCTCCCCCATTCCCCATTTGGGTTCGAGTTGGGTCTGTAAGGTCTTTTACCACCTCCAATTGCTTGATTACTCCCCGAAGGTCGATCTTTTCTAGATTCCATTTGGTAGTCGCTCAAACATTCGGCGACTCCCATGGCCATCCTCAAATCAGTAACCTTCTGTCTCTGAAGTTCCGTGCGTGTCCATGGTTTCAACCCTTCCATAAAGGTGAAGAGTTTATCCTTTTTCGACATATCTCAAATATTCAGCATATGCCCTAAAAATGATTTCACATACTCTCTGATAGAGCTGTATGTTTCAGGTCTCAAAGTGCTCGTCGAGCCTGATACTCGACATTTTTTGGGAAAAACTACGATCTGATCGCTTCCTTGAGAAGATCCTAAGAATCTATTCGAACCCTGTTGGCTTGAATGTCAGCATATTTGGTTCGCCACCATAGTTTTGCATCTTTACCCAGATACATGGTAGCTGTGGTTACCTTTCTAGCTTCGTCTTCGATCGAAGCTGCGATAAAGTACTATTCCATGTCAAACAAGAATTTTTCGACTTCTTTTGCATCATATGCCCCTCCATAGGTACACGGTTTAGGAATTTTAAGTCTAGGAGCATACTCAGGTATGAGAGCTTTCCCATTGCCCACCGCACGTTAGAGTACTCGTAATTGAGCTCTCAACGCTTCCATTTCATCCTGCAGATCAGGAATGATTGCAGCAGCTTCAGTCATTGCTGCGCAAGCCCTTTGGCTTTCATCCAGTTGGATGTGTAATTCACAAATGTAGGATTCTGCCATCTCGACTTTTTCCTCGAGACCGTCAACGGCATAGCACAACCTAGTAGTTGTCTCATCAAGAGCATCCACACGCTGTTTAGTAGTACTCTTCTCTTGAGACTCTCTCACCTCAGTGGTGTGGGATGTAATTGGATCCATAGCTTTCTTATCGAGGGTCGTGATACCAACTTTCATGGGGTGTCTTTCTTCTTGGCACAGAAAGGGACACCGTGTGGCAGTAGTCTACTCCGCCAGACTATCTTCTGCCTCTTCTCGATCGTGTTGGGACGAAAAAAATTTGATTACAATTTTGTAAAAAGTGTACAACAGAGAATTTGAATGCATTGAAAGTAAATTGAACATTACAATTGACGAAAGCAGAAAATTACAATTGCTAGTGCAGAGGGTGGACACCAGTGAGTTTGAAAGATTTTTGAATGAGTAATACCCCCTATAATAGCATTCTGAACAGAAACTTAAGTGACAGGAGTAGACGTTTAAATGACGAGAAATCATACTAAACGTTTACTAATATCAGAGCAATTTTTCAACTGAAGTAACTTATAATGAAAAGAAAATCACAACTCAAACTTGTACTAATATTTATAATGTGCGGTCAAAGTTGGGCAAACTGCGGCTGCGATTGTGTCAAGGAGCTAAGTAAAGCTGCGGTCCTTAACACTTGGGCAAGTCAATGTGTGCAATCTGATAACCATGGTTTCTGATGAGTGGGATTAATTTTGACTCCAATGAGTCCACTCACGTTACGTGTAAGACTCCTACACATTTGGATAAAATGATTAGAAACACTTAACTTTCGCCAATGGTGGGGGAGATGGTTGCATGTGCTCCGACTATAAAAAGCCAAATACATATACATTTGAGTGTAGAATAAATGGAAGACGTGAGTCACAAGTATGAGTGTAGAACGAATCGTAGAATGAGGCATAACACAATTCATAGATTTTTTATTTTTATTTTTTCATTCACAATACAAAAAGAAAAGCTGCTTTAGATGGTTAAAGCTCGTTTTTTCAAGTCAGTGTATATTGTGTTACATTGATTTATTAATTGGACTTATTTGAATATTTCATAACTGATTATCTGAATTCAAGTTAATATCGGATTCTCAATCCCATTATGGGTGGATTTTTTTATTTTATTTTATTTTTATTTCTTTTTTCACGATTTCAACATCATCTTATTTAAGTGTATATATAAGAACCTAGAAAATCAAACAAGAAGTTTTCAAGAATTTTTTTTTTTTTTTTTTAAACTTCTTGAAAGCTAAGTCTTGTTGGTTCATGTGTATTCAAGACATTTTTATCCACGTATTTCAGAATCTCACTAATATATTCATTTATATATATCCTAATATATTTATAGTTTGAATAATTTATAAACACTTTCCAAACTTTTGAAAGAAAATAAAAGGCCAAATATTTTAAATTATAAGATTTTGAAAGTGCATTTGAGTTTTTTCAGAAACATATTGGGTCCATATTCTCAAACTGCTTGGTAATGAAATTTCTTTAAACCAAAACGGGCCGTGTACCCACTTTTTAATGTAATGCTATCTTGGCTATGTTTGGGTCATGTAACGAGTTTGTATACTTTCTATAAATATTATATTTATTTTTATTTATATATACATTTTGAGAAATACTTAAATATTACTTACTTATCAGCATTCATTTTTATCTTTAAAACTTCTATTATTTTTCACCACTTATAAGACGTCAACCGATTATAGTTATCTTAATAAAAAAATAATAATAATAATAAAAAAGATCGATTACTAAACCATTAAACCGACCCATTTAATTGTGAATCAAAAAATCATGTCCAATTTTCCGAATTCATAAGCTGCTGCTGCTTCTTTTTAACGAAAAATTATTGTAAAAATTACATTCACCCAGACATTTCAATTTCACAATTCAAAAATAGGATTTAAAAGTTTTTTTTACTAAAAAATCAAATTATAATTAATTACTTAATAATTTTATACTTTAATATTAATAATATATAATCAAATAAATTTACAAACCCCAAATCATGGACTTTGTTTGGTGTACATAATTTTTTGTACATCAAGGTGTCTCATACTCACATGAGATGCTGCAGCTTGAATATTTTATTCGAGTTGGCCCGCCTTATGTGAGTGTGTGGATACTTTAATGCATAAGTAGTGTTATTCCTAAATTATTTCCATCTTTTTACTCCTTCCTTCTTTCTCTATTCTATCCCCCCTCCTCCTGCCAAAACCACCAAGTGGCGCCTCTCTCTTTGATGAAATCACGATGCGTGGAGAGAGGGAGCAGCATTGTGAGCTGTGCTCATTGTTGCGATGCACCGTGGACAACGATGAGAGGAAAAAACATGGTAGCGAGGCTACAGTGGATCTGGTCGACGAAAGATGGGACAGCACGCGATGGTTTTTGAGGGTGTTTCTTCCTTCCCTGATCTGCTGTTTAGCCGAAGTTTTTTCTTATGTTTTTAACCAGTCATTCTTCATCAATCTACAATTTCAAAATGCATTTCTACAATAAAATTGAATTCAAACAAGCTCTTAATAATAGTTTACCTCATTATCTCCATTAAAGATCATCACTGCCACAACATAACAATAATCAATATCAACTATATTTTGGGTAAAGCAAGTAATTTTGGCATATTAATTATTAGTTTTAAAATAAATCAAACAAACATGAATTTATATTTATTTTGAATTAGTAAAACTAAAACTAAAAAATTTATTATTATTATATTTTATAGTTTACGTGCGTATTTATTCGATTTGATATCAATTCAGTCTCGAGTGGCATTCGATTTGATGTTCCATCTCTAATGTGGACTATTTGACCTTTTTTTCATTTATGAGCCATGCTCAGATTCATTTTTAAAACATAGCTTTATTAGGTTAGCCTTGCCCTGTTTAGCCTCCATTTTTTAAAATGAAAAATGAGTGATTTAAAAAGAAATTTTTTTCATTTGCGTAAAATATTATTTTATAAAAAATTATATGATTAAAAATAAAAAAAATAAAATTTAATGAAAGACCAAATGGAGCAAATCTTTACTGAATATGATCTTTTGATCAAATGAAAAAAATATTTTTTCTCATTTTTTTTTTTTTGGTTTTTGAGATGAATGTTTTTACATCTTGAATGAAAAAACAAAATTAATTATCCCATTAAATTAAATTTTATTTTTTAACTTTTTATTTTCAATCGCACAATCTTTCATAAAATAATATTAAATTTTAACCATAATCTTCACTTTCTTTTTCAAACACTTACTTTAAAAAAATAAATAAATACTATTTCAACCATTTTGATTTGATAAATTGGGTTGGAGGGCTGGCAGGGACGGAGGCTTAGATTTTCATTTACGAGAAAATAGTCCAATAGAAAAAGTAAAAGATTATAAATCACAATTATCAAAAGAAAGATAAAAGTCGATTAATGATCGCTAATCATACTGTTTTACACAAAATTTTTATTTTTTTATTATAACCTTAAATCGTTTTATTAAAACCAAGCTCACAATTTTGTCAGATTTTTTTTTTTTAATATTCAACAGTGACTAAATTATTATTTCAGATTTTTTGGGTAACACAATTTTTTTTTTTCAAATTAGTATATCTTATCCAAGTCTAGATAATCTCAAAACCTATAATAATTCTGCTTCGCCTTGAAAAGTAAAAAAATAAAAAATAAAAAATAAAAATAAAAATGTAAAACCTTTACAATATTCTTTGCCTAGAACTGTGCTGGTAATGATGTTTCGGGTCTACATGCAAAATCATTTGACCCGAAACCCATATCCGAATAATCGAACAACCCGTCCATGGCTACATAGTCGCTGTTGTTGCCGTTATAGTTCTCCGTATCAACAAATCCAAACTCGAACGAGTCAAAACTCGGTATTTCACCATCGAGCCAAGAGAACTCGCTACTGAGTTCGGACGAGTCAGACTCGACTCGGACTAACTCGTTCCTTTGCTCATTCTCAACCTCATTCGGAGATTCAGACGATGGTGGAAGCCCAAGCTCGTAGTCAGAAGCTTCAAACAAGTAGCCAAGCTCGGGCTGAGACTCGCCAGAATCTGACGTCAGATCCACGACTTCCTCCACCTCCGATGAAGATTTTATCTCTTTCTCAAAGCTCTTCATAAACGAGTCCAGATCTTGACTCGTCGGACAAAAATCCGTCTCGTCGTCCAAACTTCCCAGCAGATCCTCCGTCAGTCTCTTGACCTCTGGAAAGTCGATTTCTGATTCAAACTCCTCCGATTCCTCTCGCAATCTCTTCTTATTGTTCAACTCTTCCATTGCAACAGATTTACAAAACCTTTCTTCAAATCAAATCACACAAGGTGTAAGAACAACTGAACTTTTCCGTCAATAATTATAGGGAGAAAAATGTGATGATGGACGGAGAGAGAAATGGGAGGGAATATATAGGGAGAGAAAAAGGCAATGGAGGGAAAAAGAGTGGGGTATGATGTGACGTGTTGGGGCCATCCCATCACGGACGTCTCGACCACTGTGTTTAGGTTTCCATTGACGTGTTTCCTTTTGGAATTTTCTATTCGGTTCTTAACTGGATTTAAATTTCGATTTGGAATCCGGTACAGGGACGTGGGGACCACGTGGCATAGTCAGTCACGACCGGCTCTTTCTCTCTCTACTTTTCTATCTATTAGGTTGGATTTGGATTTAGTATTTGTTTACAAATAAACCACTGCCGACGGCACCGTTGAGGACGAATTCTATTTCTAGGGCGAATTTATGACCGTTTCTATTAAAAAATACATAAATATTTATAATAGAAAATACTGACCATTTTTATTAAAAATTTTCATAAATACAAGTAGAAAATACTATACAAAAAGAAACTAATTTATTTTTATCAAATTCGTGGATAAATACTCGTCCAATATTGCATAAAATCGTTCTTGATTCTTTATTTTCAAAAAATTATGATACAAACAATGTCAGATCCAGAATTGAACTAAAAAAAATAAAAAAATTAGCCGAAATAATATATAAAAACAATTATACTAAATTTTATAAAAAAAAAATTACATAAAAAATTTAGCACGCTTTAGTTCAATCTTCCCTATATCTGCCATTGGGTACAAATTAGGAAGAAATTATAGTCTGTGCAGACGAAGAATATTATGAGTAAGATAATTGAAATTCATATAACTTTTGAATTCAAAAAGTATTTTAAACTCAAATATATAATTTTAATTTATTTACTTTTGTTTCTATCGACAAAACACACATCTTTTGGCTAGAGCAATAAGTTATTTGTCTGTAAATACAGAAAATTATTCACAGAAACCTACATTTTCTGTCATTATTGTATTAAAAATCAATGAAAAATTGCCCAATTTTCTTCTGTAAAAATTATTTCAAACTTTTTCTGTATCCATAGCATAAATGTCCAACTTCCCGAATCCAAGACGGAGAAGAAAACATTAATCTAAGAGGATACAATTTATTGAAATAAATTTAAGAGGGTGTTTGAGAAACATTTTATGTAAATATGTATTTTTAAATAGTAAATTGATGGAAAATGTGTGGTTGAAAAATAAGATAAAGTTTTTGATTTACTTATAATATAATTTTAATAAAAAATGTGTGATTGAACAAAAAAGAGAAAAAAAATACATTTTGAAAAAAATAGATATTAAATAGGGCCTAAATAGCAAGTGAAAACAAAAATTTTAAAGGACAGTGAAGGAACTTCCCAACTACTGCATTTAGATTAAGGTTGTCTTGTCCTAGAATAGATTCTAATAATCCGCCTGCTCATCAAGTCTAACGAGACATTGGTTACATAAATTAAATGAAATAATAAAATACGATTAAATAATTTATTTTATTTGTACCACAGTTGTTAGTTTTATAAATGCACAAACAAAAGTTGTACTATGATAAGTATCCGACTACTCCAGGACAGCTTAGGGGTGTTCTCTTTGTGTTTCAGTTTTGTGTTTTGAAAAGTTTTACACTGAAAACGCCCAAAACGACAAAAAAGTCGTTTTGTATTTTCTTCACAAATTTTTTTTTCGTTTTCGAAAATTCATTTTCGAAAACGGGAAAGAGAATACGTTTTCACCGTTTTGAAAAATCGAAAACAGAAAGCGGCCCGAAAACGGTAAAGAGAACAGGGCCTTAGATGTTGGTTCCTAAGAGACGAAACAATTAGTCAAATCACTTGATTATGACTCGAATAAATACGAACAAAATGTTTAATATATATCATCATACAATTATAAATTATTTACAAGAAATTTAATTCTCAATCAAATGTAGCTCCTATCCTAGCCATATTTTTTTTAAACTCAATTTTTTTTTTTAAATTTCGTTATCAAACACACATTCTTGGCATGTAAATTAAAAATATTTATTTATTTTTTAACTACATATTCTCTAAAAATTATTATTATAAAATTCATTTCTGTGAAAAATGGGACTCTATGTTCAACCAATGTTTACAAACGATTTATCATATATCAAATTATATTTTACTATAATTTCAATCAATTATATGAGTTTTGCTAGTAGGCTCGAGATTTTCAGGGGGACGACCCTCGCCCATAGGGGATATGTGTCCCCCTAGAAATCCCGGGCCTATGCGGCTCGAGATAAGAGGCATTAGCCCAATTATATATACTTCCCAAACAATTTTTAAGTGTTGTTCAATCTACCGTGAATCTAAGATATGGCCGACAGATTCAAAACGATAATTTCTATAATTAATATATACAATAATATAATGAATTGGACGGTTATAAGCGCACCACAAGGTGCTGACCCGTGTTTCCACGCGTAGCCAACCCTATCAGATAGCTTCTCAATACAAGTGCCACATGGATGGGGACAACCTTAATTAGATACACGTAACTTTGCCCCTATCTGATTTGAGCAACGCTATTTCGCATTATTGGTGTGTATCAATGATTAATTTAGATACAATTATATGATCGGTTAGTCCCCATTTTATACAAAGGAAAATGAGTAAAATAAATTTTTTTTTTAAATGAGCGATTCAAAAAGAAGAAATTTTTTTCGATTTACGTGTAATATTATTTTATAAAAGATCGTGTGATTAAAAATAGGAAAGAGAAAATTGAAATGTAATGGAATGAAAATTAATGAGGGCCAAACAATGGCTACGCTCTCGTTAGGCCCCCATTTTGTAAAAATGGACATAGGTGGAATAGTGTGTTTTTTGAAAAGTGAGTGGTTGAAAATGAAGGAAATTTTTTTTATTTATACATAATGTTATCTCGAGAAAGACTGTGTGGTTGAAAATATGAGAAAGAGAGAGAGAGAGAGAGAAATATAATGGAATGAAAATTAATGAGGGTCAAATAGGGGCTAAGTCGTTGTTTGAATGCTATTTTTGGTTAAAAATATATTTTGTAACATTGATTTTTCAAAGAATGTGTAGTTAAAAATAAGAAAATTTTTCAATTGGCGTATAATATTATTTTATCGAACAATATATGATAGAAAAAAGAAAGGGAAAAATCTGTTTTGAAACAAATGGAGCCCAAACATATGCTAAATAATAAATCATTTTAAATATAAGATATCGTGATTCATTTAACTGAATTTATCAAATGTGATTACTTAAACTGATGCTCTAGCACTTGTACTAAAGGTTATTATTCATTTAGTTTGCATTAAAATCAAAATTTTTAGTATTTTTTTTCAAAAAATGGTGAAATATATAATTAAAAAATTGATAAAAATTATGAGTTTTATGAAATGTTTTATTGAAAATAAATTTGAAAAAATAAGAATCATACAGGGACTTATTTTTTTCTTAGGCAGTGAAAGACTATCTAATGAGTTATTTTCGTGGGCTTAATAGCACAATATCTCCTATCTATTACCTTATTTGCCGAGAAACCCGTATACTTAGAGTGTGTTGATTGACATAAAAAATATCACCTAAAAAAAAATATTTTCCTTCTTTTGTGAAAAACAAAAACTACCTCCACTCAAGGAAAATATTTTCCTAAAAAACAAGGAAAATTAGACATATTTTCAAAAATTGAAAAATATTTTCCATGGAAAAAATTAGCAATCAAATGTCTCGAGTAGCAATTTGGGTGAAAAACTGATATTTTTCATAAAAAATAAATATAATCAAATACACCCTTATTGGAAATAGCTCAAAACTCCCTTGTTTGAAACGTTTTGTGCGTAATACATCTTTTAGTTCATTTTCTCAATAAAAAGTTGTTATATGATGAAAAAATCTCCTATTTCAATAAAATAAACAAGAATAAAGAATTAATTGCAACTATAACCTCCAAATTTTTAAAAAAGTGCAATCAAGCCCAATAAAAATAAAAAATAAAACCTTTTTCTCCCCACCGTCACCATGCCTTTCAATTAATGAGTTTATTCAATGGGGAAGCCGTCGATCCACTACAAAACCATCAATTACTGCCACATTGTCGTCGGCCATCAACCACCTTGCTGTTGGTAACATCTCAACAACACTCCCAAATCAATCTCCCATCAGACAACACATTTTGAGGGTGAAATCAATCAAAAAAAGCAACTTGGCTACGCACAGGTTAATTGACTGAACGGACTTCTTCGACGACTTTCATGATTGTGGCCTAAGGTTCCCCTCATCAAGGCGACCTAAACCACGGTCATACATCAACCAAAACAACCTCCAATCGATCTGCTAGGCCTCAGAATTTTTTTTTAATCGCGACGAGCGAAAAGCAGATCCGCCTCCACTAATACCCATTGCCTACACCACTGGTGACCCTAATTGGCCTCGGTAGAACTTGCAGCAGTCCCAAACGACTATGGGTATGAATCCAATAGTGCCAATTATCCTCCCAAGATCCAATTTTTGAATCAAAATCTGACTTTGACCGTACTTCAAACATACATGAGTAAACAGCCAATTAGATCAATTAACCAACCAATTGCTCAATTTCATCAAGGCCTAGTTTTTTCGGACCAAGAATCAATTGAAAACCAAAATTTGGAATAATAGTTGCAATTAATTCTTAGTCTTTTCTTATTTTCTTTTTGTTTGATTTAAATAGGATGGCTTTTTCGTCATTTAACAACTTTTTACCAATGTTTTAATAACCGACCCTAACATCGGTCCGGAAAAGGAAAAGGGTTAAGGATCAAACTGTTGAACCGAGGTCGACCCGGGGTCAAACCTGTTATAAAAAAAATAAATAAATAAATACTCTAACAAACTATAAAATATTATAACAATAACAATTTTTGAAATTTTAGTATTACTAATTCAAAGTAAATATAAATCAATATTAATCAATTAGATTTATTATCCTATAATTTATTTTAAAACATCAAAACTAACAATTACTGTGTTTAAAATAATTTGCTTTGTTAAAATTGAAAATATTTGTGCTTTG